TTGCCTCCTAAGCTGAAGGATGCGCTTGTGCTGCCACTGTACAATGGTAAAGGGAGCAAGCAATGTTGCACGAATTATTGTGGCATCAACTTGCTGAGTTGTGTGGGCGAGGTGATTGCCCGAATCCTGCTCAACCGCCCCGTCAGCCAGTTTGTGGAACCTAACGTGGCGGAAGAGCAATGTGGATTCCTCTCGGGTCGCATAACTATGGATATTGTGTTTGCAACTCGTCAGTTGCAGGAGAAGTGTAGCGAACGACACCAGCCGTTGTACTTGCTTTTTGTTGATTTCACCAAGGCATTTGATACGGTGAACGGGGAGGCATTGTGGCTGATGCTGGGTAAGTTTAATTGAATGTCTGCACAGTGGTATGCGAGCGAGGGTGCAGCTGAATGGAGAGACCTCGGCCGACTTTGTAGTTGTCTCTGGTGTGAAGCAAGGCTGTGTATTAGACCGAGTCGTGTTTAATATATGTTTTTATACAATGATGTCTCGTGCTTTTGAATCCGCTTGTGCTTACGTTGTTAGTGGGGAGCACCGTACTGATGGTGGGTTGCTGAACATCCGTCGTTTCGGTGCGAGAACCCTAGTCTGTGAGACAACTCTCCGTATGTTGCTGTTTGCAGACGACGCCGTTGGGCCGCGTCTCGGAGTGGCGGAACTCTGCTACGTTGTGAGGAGGAATTGGACCCCACTTTCCACAGCCATTATTCCGGAGTTTCTGGCGCGTTTTCGCGGGAATATTTGACGGGCTCGCAACAGTTCGCTAGGAAACTCCGCGGCACCTCAAATACGAATGAGCTCATGGATGAACTGAACCTTTATCCGGCGATACATCAATTCTCTAAGCATCGTGCCAGTTGGCATTGAGTAGCTGATCAAGCTACCGTTTTTTAGTCTACAAATCGATTTCAAGGTGCAGAACGTAGACAGCATAGTCTGGTGAGCAATACCATGGAGCTTACATAGTGACGTGAATCTCGGCCGAATAATAATACAATGAGGAAGACGCCGTAGCTCACCGTCTCGGTATGTCATCGTACTAGGCTCCATTAGAGAAGGCTGCAAGGGTATCACAGATCATCATCAGTACAACAGTGTAGTGGGCAACACGTGAAATGTCTGCGAAATTCAACCATGTTAAGTAAGTCCAATAAAGGTAGCTTAGCTGTGGCACATCCGTCCTAGGCAGGTGCTATAAAGATACTACATTTCAACAAGTCAGTAGTTAATCATTCTAGAATACAACTGTACCCAAGCGCCACTTTCACGAGTAATAGAATAAGGATGACGCAAAGATGACGGAGATGGACTAAGCAACTTTACAGGTTAGAAGGAAATGGTGCGATTACGTCCACGGTTTTTTATAAGCTCTGCTAAGTTAAAATCCGCGTTAAAAGAACGGAAATTACAGCTATGCTCACTTTAACGAAGAAGTAGAAGCACAGTGGAACATTGATGACTTATCCTTGGTGTGTGCTGTGAATGCCGTCTCCTATATAATATAGGACTATCCGTGTCGGAAGGTAAACCAGAGCCGGTCCGATCGTCTCTTGTCCGAAGTGAGCGAGAATCAACAGGGATGTAGAACCACCAGGCAGTCCATCGTGTGTTACTGTTTATTTCCCCATGGTCGTTCGTCCTGAGCGCTAGCAAATCTCGACCTAGAATGCTACCTGTGCCCAAGCATTTCGATATGGATGTCACAGCAGGTTGATGCTGTCCCTGGAATCAAAATTGAGGACTTGTCTGAATCTCAGTGTGTGTACCTGAAGCTGGCAGCAGTACAAGAGGGCCTAGAGAGTCACTTGAAATGGGTTACAATGACCTCATATTGCAACCCGCAATAAGTCACGATGTCAGAGGAGATGAAATGGAATAAGATTCATCTGTCAAATGAGACGGTAACGAGACACGAACAATGTTAGCGTGCCCTGTAATTTGGGCGAGCTCCAGTGAGACACCGAAGCAGCAGATAACGGTGTCATGCGCGTGCAAGTGCGATCAGTCTGTCAAGCTGAGGTGTGGCGCTTACAAGTGCATTTAACTGGGTTCCACCTAATCATTCAACATGGTGACGAGCACCGGCCGCTGCGAGTAGAGATATCAGTTGATATACCAAAGGTCCTGGTTTCGAGTTGCAGTGTTGCGTGCGAGCATTTGTTCACACTTGTGTATGGACTCCCCCAAACGGAATGGAGAAACAGTAACCCTCATGGACGATAACACTACGAACCTGCATTTGTTTGGATTGAATGTAAGAATAACAGTCATATTCCTGTAATTTTGGAAAATCACACGCCCAAGTATAAGCAGCCAAGGTGACTGTCGGTGTTTCGTTAACTTTTGGACGTGAACCTAAAATTCTCATGTTACGAGCATTTGCGCATCGAATAGTAAGTGCGCAATACAGGACGATTTACTGACAATCTCAAATAATATCTGCGTTCCGTCTGGCTCACCACTTGCGTTCTTTTGAGCCCACGCAACTTGGCATACATTGACTCGCTCCATCCATCTGTCACGACGCACTAAACACCGAGCTGGGGCGTCGTACTAATTCTGCACCATTCTCGGTTATTGAGAGCCCCACAGACATAACACTGCGCTGGACCAACAATATGTCGCGGTTAATCATCCGAAAGAGACAGTAGTAGGATGTGCGGCGGCGAGATACTACTGAGTAATACAAAGTAAACGAAATCAACGTAATTAGGTTAATGGTGAATGGTCATAAGTAACGCGGTGTAGCCCAACCTACATACATAGGTTGGCGGCATCCGTGTCAGGATTTGCCGGTCAGTGTGACCGCCCCAGGGACAGCCGCAAGACGCCTGCGCCTACAGAGGGATCATGAGTGGCTTGCCCTGCTCCATCCACAGCGCCATCCATACACCCCATCTCCGATATAAACCTGAAGGAATAAGAACGGGAGGCATGTTTACGGGAGCCAGATTCCATCAACGGAGCCGCCCACACTCGTTCAACAAACAGTGCAGAAGCATTTCGGCCTAATTGAGAAATCATGCACACCAGACGCACACAATGCGGTGGGTGGGCCGTAATCCGTTCCACACAAGATGGAACCACTCATTGAAGCTAGCACCGTCACGTGGACGATGCACCCCGTCCCCTCCAGCAACGACCAACTGTCTCCTGGAGCCAGCAATCGAAGTGCTACGAACATACACAAGTTAGCTTTATGGCTGGGTCGGTTCTGATTGGATAAGAGTCAAGTGTTGTGAACAAGTATTCGCCTTTGGATTCGACCCACTTGCCTCTTTTGTGTGCATCGTGTTACACCTATATCTCCCTTGTAGCTTGCGTAAACGTGACCTCGCTGAGACTGACCTACAGTTCTAGCTGTACTCAGAACCCACTAGTGCTCTGGCACATAATCGTCATCATCATCAACAGTAATACATCAGCCATTTTAACTGATGCTTCGCTGCCGTACAACCATGGTGGCCTATGGAACGAAGAATAATAAGAGAATGAGAAGCGGAACTTGGCGTAAAACCTTAATGCCCTAAGCAAATCTTCAGGGTCAAGGTGCTTACACCTTGTGTCACTAACATCCCGTGCAAAGATAACTGGGCATCGGCTAGATAGCTTCCCTGTGGCTTCCACTGTCCCACAGCTAACTCGGCACTAAAAACACTATAACCAGTCCTGACACATGATCCGGGAGATGTTTCACTTTAAACACTTGGTGTGTTTCCGAAATATTTGCAATAAATTCAGTCAAGGCGTTCGGTCATTACCCTTAACCATAGATATCATCGATAAACTGAACACTGCTTTTGTTGGAACATCCTTCCTGTGTGTAAATTTAGACCGGCCTGTTCAAGTTTCAGTTCGAAATCATGTCTCTTCGCCGTACACAGCTCATGCTTCAAATAATAAAGAAGTCAGCACAGTAATTTGTGAAGTTTACAGGAAATACGTCACAACCAGAGTCAGTACACTATCCATTACTACCGTACAATCACTTCTGAATCCCGAATGGCCAAAACTACTCCGTTCGGTGCGTAGTGATCATCCGCCTAAATCCAGAGATAACCAGCCTCTAGCGGAATTTAGCCTGGCGTTATGGAGTGAAGGATCCACATACCCGGGAATATTGATTCACATTTTGTTTTCATTACGGACTCAGAGTACTCGTTCATCCACTTGAAGCTCTTGTACCTCCGCACCGAACAACACTAAGTAATACAGGAATTCGAATTGTTAACCGACGATTTGCTTGCTTAATCTGGACACACAAACAATATTACACTGTCTTTTGACCTTAACTATCTGCTTTACCTATGTTGTGAGTTCGTCGACCCTATGGACCAGTTTTCTATTTGATCCGATTTTTTGCTAGTTTGCACTTTTGCTTAACTGTTCGATGGTCGCTTGCGCTCACTTGGTTTGAGGGGATGGAAGCAAACATCGCCAGCCTCATTGGTTGACCATTCTCCCACCTTGTGAAAGGTGGACTTCATGTGGTCCACTTCGTTCATGGCTTATATGCAGGATTACTCAGCGAAATGATTTCGGACGATCTGACAATACAACTTGGTTTCGTATAGGCTTGTATTGCGGCTATGTTGAACTCTCGTCACTAGGGCTTCTTCAGATCAGGTCCAATACTATACCAAACCTATTTGCATTTCGATCGGTTCCGAGGTACTCTGCGGCATCTGCTTTGTGCTCTAAGCTCATACCAGTTCAGCTATAGTTTTGGCATCCGATTGACCTACCTCAGCAGTTAATGAGTCGCGCATGTGCCGCCGAAATTCCGCCCCGATATGCTTACTGTTTATGGGAGTTTGCATCAACTCGCCTCTGCGCCTAGTACGGGAGCTAATATCGTTGGCCGTTCATATTTGTGGGTACTAGGCTGATCGATATCTCATTTGTGGGTTGTCAAACGCTTTAGTATTTACAAAGTTGATATGCTAAATTGATAACCAACATCCTACCAAAGGTATTGTATCTCCTTTTCAACGCAGGCGTTGTCGAATGAATCAACTAGGCTTTTCATCCACGGAACTGGATCTTATTTTTGCCAAACATCGTAACTGGTGGCAAAGGGTTTATGAAACAGAGTCTGCCAAGCAAGGCCGCGGTACGTAATAACTCGCTGTAAAGATTCAGCAGCGTCACTCTAGTGTTCTATTCGTTATCGCGTTATGTCTCTTTGTATTATTGTTGCTGGTAAAATCATTTTTAGCAGCTCTTACTTCACGCCCTGTTATGTATCTTATGTGCCTTTGGTGTCGTTCGCTACTGAATAACAAAATAAAAATTAACCGTATTTTTCAGACGATAAGGCTCACGCATTATAAAACGCTTAAAGCGAAGCAAAATAGTCGGATAAGTCAGACTTAATTCAGCTCATTAGCAACAACTGTCAATATTGTTCACTTGTAACACACATAAAACACAGAACAATTCACTCACTTTTTCAACCATTCCTCTTCTACAAATCCGTCAAATACTTCATCTTCGGTGTCGGCGTTTAACAGTTGGGCGATAGCGACATCATGCAAGCCCGGATCCCACTCGTTATCATCTGAATCAGTCTCGTTGCTGTTGCTTGGCTGTTCATTGATACTTCCGACCTTCGTGAAAGCTCGGACGACATTTGAAACCGATGACGATCGACGATCCATTGACAGATAGTGACGTAACTAGCCCGACATTACCTTCCTGTTTTGGTAAATGCGTGCTCACTTTCTGTCATCCAATGCTCCCACGCGGCTCACAATTTAACTTTAAACACCGTATTGACACCAATATTTAGCGGTTGGAGTTCTTTGGTTAATCCTGCCGGAATGGTGGCAAGTTCCGAATTAGTTTTCTTCACTTAGCCTTTGACAGTTTCGACGAAATGGGCGCGCACGGAATCGTAGATCAATAACGATGGAGGTTGGTGGAAAAAGCCATCCGGTTTCCTGACGTAAACTCCTCTCAGCCACTCACACATTTTCTCCTCGTCCTTCCACCCACACCGGAAACCTTTCTTTAGAAAAGTCTTCCTCGTAAAAATGACGATGGGTGGTAGTTACTAGCCATTATCCTGGTAACCAAGTGAACTTGCCGGGTGGAGTAACCATCACATATAGCACAGTATGGGAGATCAGCGTGGTGTTTATGAATAGTTGATTGCTTTATTATCGTCAGAAAAGCTCGAATCAGTTTGCTCCTGCACAGAGTTCGCCAACCCCAAAACAACTCTCTCTAGACAACATAGTAAGCTGACTCCACGAGGTTCCTGATCAGCGGTTATACTTCGACAATCAAAGTCGTAATAAAACATGTTGCCAGATTTTTCAGCGCACTGTGAGCATAGAAATTGATTCGAGGTCACTAGAACTCAGCACAATCATTCATACATGAGGTGCATCATCATCAACAGCAGTACATCAGCTATTTGAACTGATGCTTCGATGCCATACAACCATGACGCCCTATGAAATAAAGAATAAGAAGAGGAAGAAAAGGGGGACTTACCTGAAAACCTTAATGCCCTAAGCAAACATTCAACGTCAAGGCGCCTACACCTTGTGTAGACAACATACCGTCACAAACAGCTGGCTATCATGCAAAGATAAGGCGGCATCGGCGAGACAGCTTCCTTGCGGCTTTCACTGCCACGCGTCATAATCAGCCATTACCCCGCAGATAACTCAGGACAAAACACACTAAACAGGTAATTCGAGCCATGTACTGTAAAGTCTCGAGCCAAGCACAAGGCGAGTCACCTGGACTCCAGCTCGGAAGGCGAGACGGACCAACAGCACCCAGTTTGGTCGTCAACTTCTGTCCACCTCGAGCCTTGCGCCATCCTACACTTGGCAGACTAAACAAGGTCCTCTTAGGTAAGCGGTGACCAGACTTACGGAGCACGTGCTCCAGCTAACACAACTTAGTGCTACCTGTTGGTTTAGGGAGCTAGCATGATCATCACCACCTAGTACTCACCTACGCACATCATCGTTGCAGACACGCTGGTGCCATCCGACACCAGCAGTGCTTCGCAAACAACGATGATCAAAGACGTGAAAGCACCTCAAACCGAAGGGGCCAAGTCTCACTTCCATAGAGTGGAACGGCCCTCACTGTGGTCATGTATACCCGACCCTTCCGACGGAAGGAAATTCCCTTCTGTCGTCAAACTGCCGCAGGTTCAAGAAGATAACTTTGGTCTTTGCCATCTGTAAACTACCTACAGTTTCTATGCGACCATCGTTGCTGAGGCAGCTGTCAAGATAAGTGAATTAATCATCCATCTCGAGCTCCTCGTTAGCAAGGGTCAAGGGGACATCAAATGGTTGGTGGTCCTGCAGCAACACTTAAAGGTGCGAAGTGCATACCAAATAATGGGACCACTTTAGACAGGCTAATCAGGGTTGATTGTGCCGCCGCAACATCGGCGAAAAACAAGACGATATCGTCCGCATAATCAAGACCAACTAGTCTTCCACCAGGCAGGACCTCAACGCCTACATCGTGAGATTCCGCAAGGGAACACTCTATGATAGAATCCACGACGAAATTGAACAAAAACAGGGAAATCGGATAACCCTGACGAACGCCACTCGTGGTCGGAAAGCTATCCCATAGGATACCGTAGACCCTGACGTGGCCTGTAGTGTTCGAATTTAGAGCACGAAGTATGTTCACATATTTTATGGGAACACCTTTCCGCGCGAGTATTTCGAATAGAATCGATCGATCAACTGAATCGAACGCACTCTTGAAATCGAGGAACACAGCTATTGTCGGCCTTCGGTATGCGTGGTGCTGCTCTATCACCTGCCGCGGTGAGTCGACGAACGAGAATCGAGGCCAGTAATTTTGTCATAATTGGCGTTAGGCTAATAACCCTATGGTTAGAACAGTCCTTGCAACTGCCCTTCTTGTATATTGCCACTATAATCAATTCTTTCCAATTAGCCGGGACACTCCATTCCAGATACGTTCGAATAGGGAGGTCATTGCTTTGCAGAGGACCGCACCTCTATCGTTAAATAGTGCAGGTGGCAGGGAATCCGGACCAGCGGCGCGAAAACGGTTGAGGGCTGTGACCGCGTTTTGGACCTCGGCCTCCGACGGAGGCTCTAAACTAACCGTCCATGGCACGTCCTGCATCACCTGAGTAGGAAGTGGTCCGGGAGCAAGGGACCAGTTTAACTGATCTTGAAAGTCTTCCGCCCAACGAGCCATACGGCGCTTCTTATTGTGTATCAGGAAGTTCGTCTGGGCCAGGTGAATTGTGGCGCTTCAGTAAGCGAACCTTCAGTCGGTGGAGGGACATCCACGCACCAGGGAGCACTGTGAACTCCGGAAAATGGACTCGATTGCGCTGTTGGCCAGTTAAACTGATCTTCAAAGTCCTCTGCCCATCGTATCAGACGACGGTGACGATTGTGAATTGATTCACCGTCATTTTCACGCAAAACCTCACTCACTGTTGGCCTTCTGTTTCCCGTGGAGCGAATAAGTTGGAAGAGTTTTCGGGAGTTTCCTGATGAGGCTGCCCGCTCCATCTCAACGACCCGCTGTGTCCACCAAACCTCCCGGTTCTTCCTGAGGAGCTGTCTTAGCTCAGCACCTGTGGTTCTTTGCAGTGCGTTATACTCAACTCCGGCGGGAATTGTTCGACGACTTTCTCTTAATTGGAGAGACTGTGCGGAGATCCATTGACTAACAGCTCGTCTAGTGAAGCCACAGACCAGGGTAGCGGACTTTCGTAAGGCGCTCTGGATCTGTACCGAGTGTGTCTCAGCATCGGAGGATAGCGAATGCATGTTGGAAGCTAATGTGTTCTGAAATGCGCCGAGAACATTTGGAACGGCGAACTTGTCTGTGTCAAGCCGTTTCTGGTGACCTTTTGGCTGCCTCCAAAGTGTAGAACGAACTTTGCACACACGAGCACATGATCCGGTTAAGTAAGTGTTCCAAGTTGACCTGCAGTCCGTTATGCAACCTCGTCAACGGTAACCAGCAACGATGCGGTCAATCTGCGTCCAGGCTTGACCAGGCGTCAGAGGTCGCTAGGTAGCTCATTGACGCCGGGAACGTCGGAACTTGGTGCTGGAAAGGAACAAACCGTTGTCCGTCCTGCGAGTACCGTGGCTGTGCTGACCCCCAAGTTCTCGCTCATGAACCTCTAGTCTACCGACCTGCAAATTTAGGTCTCCGGCGAGTATCATAGTGTCCGTGCTATGTTTCTTGCGAAGGTCGGTGAGTTGGCGGTAGAAATCTTCTTTAGCTTCGTCCGGGTTTCTGTCCGTAGGAGCGTGCGCCGCCACAATAAATAAGCAGCGTCTACTGATCCCATGGCTGGAAGACCGCACTGAGCTTTCCATGTGCACTGCACAAAGACGGCTGTTGACCGGGAATCAGTCAATGAGTGCTGCCTCAGCCCGCGCGCTTAACGCAACTCCTACGTCCGCACACCCAGAGGCTGCCGCTGTCGCATCTCCAGATAAGCGCAAGATGAATGTGCAGTTGTAACTTGAAGATGTTCAGAGATTGCAGCGTTGTGCTGGAGTCCTGTTAATGGGTTTTGATTAGGCAGCAAATGTCGATTAAGAGGGTTTCCAATGTGCGCACAAGAATCGCATGTGAACCAACCTGTATGAGCGTTCGGACATTGAAAGTAAATTGCTTGAAGTGCGAGCGGGGTGCAATTAAAGCCTTACTGTTTGTATTGGAATTTGTGCGATCGGTTTTGAAATTCATTGATGAGGCCATTGATGAGGCAATGCACTTTGGGAGACTCGAAATGGGATGGGGTTGCCAAGAACAAGAGGGTTGAATAAACCTGGTACGAAGATAGTGGTTTGCGGTGCGGTAGAGTTAGGTTTAGCATGCCTGGCCGCCAGCATGGCCAAAGAGAGAGTTCAGAGAGCGAGAGACGTGAGCAGAGGGCTGTAAATCCAGCATTTCATGTGTTGTGTGGGCATACAGCCTCCCGGTTGCCCAGGCCGAGGAAGGGGTTGGCTTAGGCGGCCCCACCCGGAGCCTTTGGTCATAGCAACCTGACTCGCTAGGCAGCGGGGCGAATTCAGGGAATCGCGCCCACTGGGAGCCGGTGACCGATTCCTCGGTTCATACGACCTTCGTTTGGCTGGCTGCCAAACAAGGGTCCAGTACTCCCAGTAATTCAGCGTCAAGCTGAATGATTGCAATGCTCCAGCGAGGTGAAACGAGGGGCAGTAACTTTATGTAGGAGCAAGTCACATCCGCCACGTCGCAGTGTTGTTAAACCGACATGTGGCGTTTTATAGGGAGAACGCTTGCCAAGCGAAAACGCACCATGTCCTGGAACACTTCCGCCGAACCTTTCGCTGGAACCGGATAATCCCGAACCACCCAGTTGGCTCCACAAGGAGGTAGTTCGGCAAGCCAGCCTTACTTGCTCCCCATGGCTAGATTCAGTACAGTGTTTGAGTTCTGCACCCGCTGTATGCTAAAGTTTTTGACTCACGCCCTAGCAGATGTTGACAGCAGGTTGCCAGCTTAGATCATGTTTGTTCTTTCGGTCTTTCTCAGGAAGTGTATAACGAAATACTTCACGAAGTCCTACGACCTCAATCATCTTATTTTGTCTCAAAATACAAAAGGGGTCATTTTAATGCCTTGCGATTCAATTTTGGAGACACATCATCTCACACAGCAGCATTCGCCCAAGTAACAGAAACATCCAGTTCATTGCTTTCGCGACAACATCCAAGAACTTGTTAGGATTGAACGCTCTTTTGGGAATGTGTTCTTACAATCTTCGCTGTGTGCGAGATTTCGTGACCCTGGCAGATCCATTGTGATTGCTAAAAAAACACATTATCGTTCACTTGGGGACGTGACTAGCAAAATGTGTTTGGTGCCTTGTAACTAATGGTTGTTTCTACTCCTCTCGTTTCCATCTTTGATCAATCGTGTAGCATTTTTGTTTTGACTAATGCGTATGATTTCGGTCTATGTGTCTTTCTCTCACAACTACAAAACGGAGTAATGCCCTTCTTTCTCACGTGTTTTATTTCTCGTCGAACTAAAGCGCCCCTACCCCACGACCGTTTACTGAAGTCAATGAGTTGTGGAGGCTGGAACATTCCATTTGTCCGCATGCGTTCATTTACGATGTTGACTGTTCGATGATGCTCATGGACTGCGGAAGCTGAATCTACCTTACATTTGGTTATCGCACTCGGATTGAACATAGTTTATGGTGAACCATGGTAGGCAGGATTCCTCATTCCTCGTAGCTAGACACAGTTTATTCTATTCGACAGCCTTAGTCATGTTCGGGACTTAGTTGGATGAGATCTGTTGATTATCTGCTGTGCCGTTTCACCGATCAAATTCAAATCATGGAGTCCGCCGCTGGCGATGGACAGTAATAAACAGGTGCAGTTTTTGGGTCTCAAGTATGTACCGCGTATATTCGCCGCATCTTTATCTGGTGACCTTACGCTCTCTCTTCCCACCGAGATATGATTGAGTCCCTGAAAAGACGGCTTGTGGCCGAATTGCTAAGCCATAGGCTAGACTTCAGTGGCCCATCTCCGGCTAGTGGGTCGGATTAGTGACTAGCGTTACACTAGTCACTGTAGCAATCACCTATTTTCCGTTCTGTCCGTATGCTTACTTGCGCAGTATTGCGTCCAAATTGGGCTGTGATGAACCGCAAAGGTGAAAGTGAACACTATCTACCACGCAGACATTACTTCACTTTCTATGCTGCTTATTTACATGCCACAGGAAGTTAACTCCTTAAGGGTAACGACTCTAAATAGCCATCGCTTATTCATACTCCTCTTCAGTTTGGTCCAATTCCTCGTTTTCACTACTTATAATCACAGGGCATTTACAATGCAGTAAGCCGTTTACTTTACGCAATCTAGCCTTAGTTCATTGGGTGTCGAGATAACGCATAGGTACGCTGTGCCCACCAGCCTTTCTGTGAAATCGAGATAGACGGATTTGTATTCATGCTTATTGGAACCTAATGGGAGTCCACTAATTCGCGATCTGCTTTTTTGACAATGGTTTTTTGTGAACTTGACCATGGTCTATCTTTTACCATGGTTAATTGTGATAGCGATAACTGCAATTTATCGCTCCGCATAGATTGTGTCCACTGGTAAGGTGATCCTTGAGAGCGACTGTTGTTCCTCCGGTTGGAGGATTGGATCAGTTGATCCTCATCCGGTTGAACGTAGCTGAATGCTGTTCGGTTCAGCTGGACATGCCACGGTATTTGATTGGAACTCCATCTGAGATGCAATTCAGATCTAAGTACGTTCATTTGGACATGTAAAAACAATTGACTTCTAGAGTCTTGTACTATATATCCTATCCGTTAATTTTCTATGCGTAATGTTGCCTCGTTGAGTCAGCTAAACTCCTGTTCCCGCTTGTCTCTGATCCCACTATCAGAGTGGGTGGAAACAATTTGTGACTGATACAACACCGGGAGTCCCCTTTTTTGCGGGGCGATTGGTTTATAAATTCCATAAGTCTTGGAGTTCCTAATGTAGTAGCTCTACTGTGGTCCATCCAAAAGCATAACGTAGCAGCCGCTTGTCCTATTTTTACAACATCTGGTATTGTATTTTCTGCAACACACTGTTGGACTTCAAGTGGTGATATTCCTACTCATTTTTAGAACTGTGCTACCTCAAGGGACTGAGTTTTCCGGCGTTTGTGGAGCTGTGTGTACAACTTGCTGAACATTGCAGTCTCAACGAGCACCGATTATGGTCTGCGGCTAATACCATTCACCTGCCGGAAATTCCGCTGTCACCCAGAGCTACCCCAAAGAAGAGCACGCATAGTGGCGGAAAGGTCATAAATGGTAGATGTACTTCCTCCTCTTCTTCGAAAGCTTGCACTGCAGAACCTCATAACCCCGTCAATCCCAAGTCACCCAAAAACACGTTGTCTACACCAAGGCAACCAGTCAGGGTTCGTTTGATTGAGCGCCGACGACACCGTCTTGACCAAACCTCCACTAGTTCCAACGGCGTTCATGCTGCGGTGCAATATCCGGGGTGGGATTCATCTGACGCTGACCCATGGACGATTGAGTCATGGAAAAAATTATGCCATTTTATTGAACACTGTTGCGCGGATTCGGTACCAAACTGATAGTACTCTGTGCACAAATACTCAAATCGAAGTTTCAGCTTTGGGTGAATAACTTAGTGCTCAACGTTCGTTACATAAAAGGCCAATTACCTTACTCAGGACCAGTGCCAGGGTCTCAGTCCTCAAAAGTTTATTTCCATCGGAAGATGAATACAAACTTCGATTCGCTTTGTCTTTTCTAACGTCGTGCTTGCCAGCTTTCTCCCACTTATTCACCGCATTTATGAACGATCTAATCCTGTAGTCTATCTAGTGGGACTTACTGCAATCCGTCAAAGTCCTGACACCTGTTTAGCTTCATTCCTACATTTCGGAAGCGCACTGAAGTTTCTAAGTTTGTCGTAGTAAACCACTTAGGTCCCGAGGCTTTAATTCAATAAGCAGAGTGGCGCGAATTCATAACTTATTGCATTTATAACAACTAGAACTAGCCAAAAGCATCAACATCTGAAAACATGTTGGACTGCAATTTCGTCCTTACGGAACCCGCGGGAAGTACGTATTCCACCTGACTCATGTGGGGCTAGAGTCCACAGCTTCTCTTTCATCTGAAACTGGGTAGAACCACCAGGCTATCGATGACGACACTGATCGAAATGACCAAGTCACCACTTATGATTTGACACGGTTCACTTGCACGTCAATACAATGCGGAAGACTGCGCAATCCACTCCCTCAGGAAGGTTTCCTAAACTAAAGCCGAGGTCAAAGCAAGCTTTATGGATCCAGATGAGTTCATTCACATCACTTGCATCACCATTACGAATATATTGAAAGACTGTGTAATATACCAACAACCGCTCGTTCCGTATGTTTATGACCGGTTGGGTCAACAATCAAACTTGGCGGGACAAAAGAATATTCAAGTGGATAAAATTTTAAACACGAAGAGATAGAGTACGTTTTTGAAAGGTCTCTGGGTAGTGGATGAAATCGGTTATTTAGTACATTAGAAGTAGAATTTTTGCAAACATCCAGATGTCTAGAAATGATCAAAGCAAATTGTGAATCTCTTAACAAGCCACTGCGTTTAGTAATGTGCTTTATCGATCGTACTGATAAGATGTAGTCTTTCTGAAGTAGTCCAGAGATGATGACAAGAGCGCTGTAAAACCAATGGGCGACAGTGCATGAGGTAAAAAAAGTACAGGATGCTGAAAGCATCTTGGGTCTTAGGGTATAAAAGAAAGTTTTTTGACTTTAGACAAGTTTCACAGACATGCCTGAACCGGGAGAGGTTTGAGAACTGAAAGATGACGAGATACTTGACGGTGGATGATCTGGATATGGGGTTTTCATTCAAGTGATCAACTCAAGACCATATGAGCGTTGGGTTACTAATTCTTTTCTTGTAAACTCCCCGATGAGAATTTACACAAAAAAACTCTTAACCCAACACTCATTTGGTCCTTATTTGAGCACTCAAATGGGGATATTCGCTTTGCTAATGATCAGCATTACCCGTGATTCACTAAAGTGAAAGTGGGCGAGATATCTATGGGAGACTGCAGTTTGTCGCCACTTAAAAAAAGAAAAATATCATATCGCTGTATTTGGAGGGATTAAGACTATGAGATCTGAATAAAGACCACTACACCAAATTTTCTAATCCACGTTGAAGCGATAAAAATCCGGAGAAAAAGAAAGGTATTAACAGTACGCTTTGATGTCGCGTGACAACCACCAGTCGCGAGAGTCGCCCTACCCCTACGCATGCTCGAACCCGCGACGTGTGATTACGAGATAAACACGTTACCTTTAGGCTTCGGGTCGGGTTAGTGGGGTCATACACCCCAGCACAACATTGTCCGCATATTTTCATCCTATAAACAGATAAATTGTAAGGTGACTCCCTGCAGAACATCACGGATAACAGAGGATTTCTTACCGTTTAATTTGGTGAAGTTGATACTATCCGTAAAATAGTCACGCAACAGATT